GGGCGCGGAGTGGCGCTGCCGGTGCGGGCCTGGGAGGACGTGCGGAACGAGACCCGGCTCTTCTCGCTGCTTTGCCGCCTGCCGCGTTTCGGCGTGGGCCGCACCGTCACCCGCAAGTCCTGGCTGTGGGCGCACGACGAGCCTTGCTACTGGGTCATCACCAAGGTGAAGGCAGACTACACGGCAGAGGTAACCGCCGTCTCCGGGAGCTGTTGCGGGGGGCCCCGCCCCTCGGGGCGCGCCCCCCCCCCCCCCCCCCCCCCCGCCTCACCGTTGCTGTCCGCAACAGGTTCTCGTTTTCTTTGCAGAACATGGATCATGGAAGAGCTTGGGGCTACCTGACCTTCAGAGGTAAAACCGGCTTGTCTTCCTGCACACAAGGTTTGGAGGGAGCATCTGCAGCCAGGGCCGGAGAGTAACATCTGTGGGGGCCGGTGGGAGAGCTGCAGGAAAACCGCGGCCTTCTGGCTTGGGAAATTGGTTTTTCTCGGATCTGCTAGTCAGGAAAGTTCTCCCTTTTTTACTCTCAAATGCTGGGATCTAGCCCTCACAGAATGCATTTGTGGGAGAGCCGGTTTAGGTTGACCGTGTGGAAAGGCAAGCGCACTAACAAGGGATTAGATGAGGTGACTGACTGTTTTGAGACTTCAAAAGCAAGCCACAGGATGAGCACGAGGGTATTCCAGGTAAAATCAGTGAAACAGGAGTGATGGCAAGTAAACTTGGGTTACTGGGATTTTAAATTAATGCTTGGAGTTAAGTGAGTAAGTTTCCCTTTTTAAAGCTGCTTTATATTAGGCATACACTTTACTAGAGTTTCTGAAACATTTCCCATTCAAAGGTTTTAAAGGTTTTGGGTGTTTTTAACGTTAAATTTCCCAGGGAACCTTCATCAGTTTAGAGAGAACTTACTCTTGTTCCTTAGCCATGGAAACTGAACCAGAGAGAGATGAAATCACATTTTAAATCAAGAGAGGGATTCAGCCACCGAATTGGAATGGCTTGCCTGTAATCCTTTCAGCCTGTTTCTGGTCTGATTTCCAAGGAGAAAAGTGGGATCCCATAGTATAGCAGGGAAGACACTGCCCGAACTTTGAAAACTTAACTTTCCTGTTGCCGCTTTAGCATTGTTGATACCAGAGGGTCGTCACTGCCTGCACTTCCTGGTGCAAGTTTGCTGTTGATAGTGCTGTCGACTGATGTTCATTATCTTTTTGCAGGCAAAACTGAGGAAGAAGTGAGAGAGATTGACAGAGTCATGTACCATGACTGGCGTATGGTGCCCAAACATGAGGAGGAGGCCTTCAAGAAGTTCACCCCAGTGTTGGAGGAGACCATCCGGTACCTTCCGTACCCACCTCTGCTCCGAGCCATGACCCTTGCGCAGTGGCAGAAGGAGGGAAAGCCAATCACAGAGGAGCCAATGATTGATCTGGAGAAGGTCAAGGGCTCTCCCCTGCGGGGTGCAAAGAAAAAAGCACCAGGGACACGATTATAACAACATGTTCTGCCTCCTGACCTTCTCATGTGTTCTCACTGTGTATTAAACCTCATCTTATGAGACCCTCATGTCCGCTATGGAATTGTGTATCCAGGTTTCCTAGCTTTCTCCCCAGCCCTGTACAGTCACCTCATCTGAAAGGAAAGCTAGAGATAGACTCAAGACATTTTTTTGCCCTAACTTCAGTCTCAGTCAGTGGAGGAACCTTCCGGTTCCTTTACAGTCTCTGAGTGCAAAGCTCCTGTCATCCAGCTACAATTCTTCGGAGCGCAATTTCCTTCACAGCCTGAAAATTAGGTTTTTAAGGACGTTTTTCAGGTAATTTGGGTCTTACATAGATCACAGAAAAGTGACTGAGAATATCAGGTTATTTCACAGAGCAGCGTACAAATTACAAAATTAAACGTTTCCTTATTTCAGCGTGACTGTTGTAGGAAAACTCTCGTTTTTCTCGGCATGGAGGCCACTGTGAGGTCCTGCAGAGCTGTTGGCTTGCCAGATGCCGGCGCAGAGTCATCCTGGTTACTTATGTAGGATGGCAGTGGGAAAGACCGGAGGAATACGACTGGATATAAGCTTATCCAAGCCTACCCATCTCTCAGTCCCAGAGCTGGCTGTCGGGAGACAGTGTTTTGGTTGTAGTGGTAGAAAGAATACCGGATTAGCTCTTACTCCTCAGAGCGGATCGCAAATCACCACTTGTTGCGGTGCCGCGTGCTGCGGAGAACAGCGAAATGTGCAGCTCCTTCAGTGCAGTTCTTGGCATTTGTTTCCTCTTCGGGGGCTGTGGATTCTGCTGCTGTGTCAGGAACTGCTGGAGGGTCGGGTGTGGGGCACAAGAGCTGTTCTGGTCTGTAACCCTACAGATCAGCTCCCTGCAGAACTAGCTATTCAGTTCTTTTCTCTGACGTAATAGGCAGTTGAGGGGTGCTTTTCGGTTTGTGGCAGCGTCCTGGTATCCTGAGTAGCCTGTGATTTAGTGAGGTAAAACGAAAACTCGACTCCGCCCTGCCTAGTGGGCATGGCAGGACGGGATGAGGTGGGGCAAGTGTGGCCCCAGCCACCAGGAAATAGGCTGACACTGGGCACGAGGAAATGGATTGACATCAGCTACCTGGGCTTAGAATCACAGTCATAGAACAGTTTGGGTAGAGAGGGACCTTAAAGGACATCCCCTGCCATGGCCAGGGACCCCTTCCACTAGACCAGGTTGCTCCAAGCCTCATCCAGCCTGGCCTTGGACACTTCCAGGGATGGGACATCCACAGCTTCTCTGGGCAACCTGTCCCAGTGCCTCCCCACCCTCTCCAGGAAGAACTTCTTCCTAATATCCAATCTAAACCTCCCCACTTTCAATTTGTACCCGTTACCCCTTGTCCTGTCACTACAGGCCCTTGTAAAAAGTCCCCCCCAGCTTCCTTGTAGCCCCTTCAGGTACTGGAAGTAGTACCCTTCCAGTATAAGGTCTCCCCGGAGCCTTCT